TAAAAATGATATCTGAGAAATAATAATTCTATGTTGTCTAATAACTGGTGCAAATTGTGTTTGTTACTATTATTTAATATATGAATATCTTTGAACGTGGAAGAGCCACGCTGCAGTTATATTATGCAGCACGACAGTTTTGGCTCAAAGGGTAAAGGCTCGCTCTCACAGAATATCAGCGTACGAATAAATATCAGCTTCATACTGCTGTGTTTCATATGGTGTGTTTAGAGAACAGGATACCCTTTAAACTACCTTTTCTTTTGAGAAATTTTATCTTAACTCCAGGAGTGACATCGAATCTACAATTTGATTCTTAATCGTGGGTAAATGTAGGTCTGAAAGCCACAGCATCCACTTCCTATCAGATATACTGTGGGCTAGTATATCACTTTTATTACATTAAAAAAAACATAAATAAATCAGCATTAACGAGATGGTTATGCCAACATCCGTTAAAAGCCATGCGAGTATCGCGGAATTTTAGATAGTTGCCTGGGGTGATAGATTTCCTTGTGCTACCATCACATGGCCAAGGTATTTTTTTATTTTTATTCATCGTTTATTACAGCCTCAACATAGGCCTTCCAAAAGGTTGCCTTATAAGAGGAATATTTTCCATAGTTGCCATGCGTGGCATGCGGGTAGGCAACCAAAATATTTTATTACTTTGAGTTGTTATTAGGGAAATGCCATTTTCTTTTTCATTTCCCCCTGTCTTCTCTTACGACACCCATGAGATGACATGGAGTAGTAAATTCTTTGACGCCGCCGATACACGGTGACTTTACTTCAAAGCAACATTTCTTTAGTAAAATCAAAATGTTTAATCGTAAATTTAGGGGTTAAGTTAGTGTAAAATTTTTATACAAACGTCCTATCATATGCGTAATAAATACTTAGTCCTATACATAAGCATAGATTCTAATCATTAAAACAAAATGAAAAGGTGTGTTAAAATTTGAACTTTCAAACGTCAAATCCATTACAAAAATTTCCAAGTAGAAAGTTTTATATTCAAATTGTAGTATTTAGTGATATTTAAATTTTGATCATGCTCATTTATGATTTAGGTGAAGTGAATTCTGAAGTCAAATTTGCATATCCATTATTTTATTAGAATGATATTACATAACAAATATACTGCGCAAAAGTTACGAAATTGCAGACTCGAGATAATTTAACAAACGCTTCTATCGCTCATGACGGCTAATCAAGTAATGGCATTAATAATTACTTTTAGAAGGTATGAATGTATATATAAAAACAGATTATTTTTGTATTTATGTAGACGAAACAAAACTAACGTTCTAGTTCTACTCTTTTGGCCACAATTATTATATTACTATTATTCACATGCGATTAGCTGAATCCCTCTACTATTTCCTACATAATAAAATGGAACAAAATGTTATAGTAATAAAACAATGTGTCTATATAACTTTTTTGCCATATTCACTGTAGGTGGTAGAGCCACGCGGCAGCTCTTGCTGTCGCACGGATGGGCCGGCTCGAACCGGGGTGGTACCACGACCTCACAGAAAACCAGCGTGAAGTAGCGGTTTACCTCTGCGTTTCGCTTGGTGAGTGCAGGTGGCCGGAGGCCCTTTTTACTGGAAATGAGGCATTCCATCTTAGTCATCACGGGTGACAACGCATCTACATTTTGATTTGTAATAGAGGATAGATGTAGATGTCTATGGGCCGCAACAACCACTTACCATTAGATGGACTGTGTGCTCGTTTGTCACCCTTATTCTATAAAAGAAAGCATACATTAAATTAAACCGATTTTACGGATTTTATCGTGCTTAATTTAATACTTTAAATTCCTGATGTCTCAGGTGTTTTACAGCACTCAAGGTCACGGGGAACTGAAGTTGTCAGCCGAGAGGACTAAGATAGAATGCCTCTTTTCCAGTAAAATGGGTATCCGGTTCTCTGCACTCGCCATTAATTATTTTAGGCTGGTATTATGTGAGAGCGTGGTCCTTCCCCGGTCGAGCCGACCTAATTGTGCTACAACTATACTATTAATAAAGCTGCAGCACGGCTCTACCACGTAAAAGGATGCTAGTTTGTCATCCTTAACTGTATAAATTTTTTTTGGCAATAGTAATTCTTAAAGTAAATAATATTTATGTGGACTTCGCCATGATCCAATAATGTAGTAATTTAAAGACCATGTTAATATAGATTATGTTTCCAATTAATATACCCACAACCGACTCAGACGTTAACTCGCTGACCTAATTTCCTCCTATAAAAGGTAAATGTTAAATTATGTGATCAGAATTACTTATCTAAAAATTTCGGAGAAACTTTCAAAATCTCATGCACATAAAACTTTCAAAATGTATTTGTGCCTTTCCGTGGTTCACGCTAATGAATTCCGTTGTCATAGCGTGAACTGCAGTTACTGTAGCGTTTATATGAATAAACAAAATATCACGTGTTAACCTTGCAGGAAAATATTTTGTAATGGTATTCTGTGTTAATATTATATGGAATATTACGATATTACAATACGATATTTAAGAAATCATTTTCGTACGGTAACGATTGCCGATATTTATACTAATTAATCATTATTTATTGTTAATTTACTACAAAACTTTTATATGCTCATAGATTAATCATTTCATCTTATCTCGATTTGCTTTATTTAGATTCGATATATTTGTAATTATATTTGGAAAGGCAGTACTTCCTGCTCTAGCACACTCGCAGTGCTATTACAATGTCTTTAGACCTCATCTAAGTCACGTCCTTCTCGGGGGTTACTATGCTAGACATTTGGAGCGTACGGGGAGGGCTTCCGTACGCCCACAACCCCGTTTCTGGTAGGCGAACACCATCATCAAGAGGAGGACCGTGATAACACCGTGCAATCTTTTAGTAACACGACCTTCTTCGCTTATACAAGAAGAATTACCACAATGGACAGAAACACGTTACTGACTATGACTCATAGAATGACTTAAGCGGAATAAGGGCCTTGCACTTGGAATTTTTGCTGCACAAACGGGTAACAACCTGTTTATTTTTATTTATTTATTTACATATACTTTTATGCACGGAAAATAAAATCGCACATATGGCAGACTTAATGCCTTAGGGCATTCCCTCCCAGTCAAACATTAGGCTAAGCAAGAGATAAACATATGTGAGGTAGTGCACCAAACATAAACTAATAATGAGAAAAGGAATTTCGAATTAACCAATATATATAGTGAAAATCGTTAAATCACACTTGCAATGCTTTACTAAAATGTGCACGAACGTTGTTTTTGAAAATAAACTTGTTGGAGGCTTTTTTAACGTCGACAGTTATTTCGTTCCATAGTCTTACAGCCGTAAGAGCGAAATAGGACATATAACGCGTACGGTGTAAAGGCGTCAGCAACTTCAGATTATCCAAAATACGCAGAAAACAATTATGAGAATCTCCGATTTCCAGTAATCAGGAGCAAGAAGATCGTTCAGGATAGTGAAAAGAGTGCAGAGTATTCTAACATATCTGCGCTGATGTATTGACAGCCAGTTAAGCTGAGTACGAAAAGAAGATACATGGTCATATTTACGAAAACCATAAAAGTATCTGATGCAGTTATTGAGGAGACGATCCAATGTGTTAAGATGCTGTTGAGATTAGTCTGTCTAACACACATCTACATAGTCTATTATCGGCATAATAAGAAATTGAACAAGCAAAAGGTTTGTAGCGGTACGAAGAAAAATTTTCAGGCGATAAAGAGATCGCAATGTTGCAGTCACTTTGCGGCTTAAGTTCTGGATCTGCTTGTTCCATGAAAGACAGCTATCAATGTACATACCGAGATTCTTAACATGTGGAGAATTTGGGATAGTATTGTTGTTGTACAAAATGAACAGCAAAGTGGAGACATCTAATTTGGATAAATATCTAAATTCACTGCTGAACCCCTGTTGATTGCCTCATAGGGGATGCCCTCTATGAGGCAATCTATGGGAGATTTGCCCGCTTACCGCACTTGGCAAGCGGGTTGACTACTACAGTTTTTTTTAGCTGTTATTAGGACGACGCTGCTGACCATATTCTGATTTATTTCCCTCTGTTGCTTCTTACGACACCCGCGGGGTGATGTTGCGTAGTGCATATTCTTACACCACCACGAATCGGAAAGATCTACCTTCACTTTAATTTATTTCCTCTTTCATTATATCCTCTTTGTCCGAAAAGCTTATTATTTTCCAGTGTAAGTATAATATAATTTTCTCTAGGCATTCTTTTAGTAAGCAATTACCTAGTAATGTTATAAAACGTTTTAAGAATACATACATCACTCGTAAAGATTTTTCGATAAAAGCTTTTTCAGGTAAATTATTCAATGAATTGTATAGTGCCCTATCATATATGTTTTTTAATCCAACGACGTTGTAAAAAATCTTAAAGCGTCAATAAATAATGTGCTGAAAGAACTCAATTACATTGTTGTATTCTCTCTGATCAAAATGAAATTTACTTATTTTCTGCTGACTTCCAAAAAGAAGACGGTACTCAATTCGACTGTATGTTTTTTTATGTGTGTTACCTCATAACTTTTTACTGGGGGAACTGATTTCGATGATTCTTTTTTTATTTAAAAGCTGATACTTCGTCTGTAGCCCCATATGAATTTGATCAAGGTCAGACCAACAGTTATTCAGTTATTCTCAATAACTTATATTGAAGTCGGCTGTACAAAATTTTAAGTTATTAAATATGTTATTCGCACGTGATACCAAAAAAATGCTATTGAGATATTATATTACAGGTTAATTTTTCCTTTACTTAAATTATACATAAAATGAAACAAATTTTTACGGTTTATAGCAGTTAATTTATCTTTTTAATTCCCGACGTTTCGGGCGCTTTACACCACCCATGGTCACGGGGGGACTGAGGTGTTTGACGTACCGATGTCATAGTTAGCCCGGCTACCTTTAGTTTTTTAATATTAATTTTTGGTCCAACTTACGCAGAGCTTACAGTTTCTTGAAGTCTTGCAGTAGTATGCTTGGGTTTGGATTTAATTTTATTAATTATAGGATCCCAAGCAAATTGCAGCACCCATCCATTTTCTCTATTGAAATTAGGATTAGGTTATTTTCTAACTTCCTAGTTACAATTGAGATGCGGTCTTCAATAGGTAAGCATGTGAATAGTGACTGATCATCAAAACTGACCATAGTTTCATTGTCAGTGAAAAATATACGTCTTTTATTTCACTAACAAAATGGTATATAAAAAAAATATGGTTTGTCGACTACATAATATTCGGAGTAAACTGTAATACTTATCAACATGTTAGAATACAAAACGGCTACTGATTTTTTTCAGTTCACAGTACATTAAAGTTAAACATCTATTTATAGGTACATCACCATACCGTTTGAACTTTAAAATGTAGCACACGCAACTCATATTTTACATGAACTATCAAATTATAACAAAACTCGAGCAAGTTAAATTTCCACTGAATGCAAAACTATAACTCGCCTAAACATCCAGTATTTCTTTCGACATTTGTTAACATATTTGGGTACGTTAAGAAACAATGAAAGTACTCGCGGGTACTTTATATATAAATCGAACAAAAAGATTTAACTTTTGCCTTAAAAAATTTCACTTTAGACTTTTACTTTACACTTAAATGATACGTGAATGTCGTAAACAGAACAGCAAATTTCATTACGATATTTAATATAAAAATTTTACGTGGTAGAGCCTTGCTGTAGCTATATTAATAATATAGTTGTAGCACGAATGGGTCGGCTCGACCGGGGAAGGACCACGCTCTCACAGAATACCAGCGTAAAATAGCAGCTTAATGCTGCTGTGTTTCGTATGGTGAGTGTAGAGAACCGGAGACCCATTTTACTGGAAAAGAGGAAGTCCATGTTAGTCCTCACGGGTGACAACGCATCTGCATCTTGAGTCTTTATTGAGGATAGATGAAGATGTCTATGGGCTACAGCAACCACTTACCATCAGGTGGACTGTGTGCTCGTTTGTCACCCTTATTCTATAAAAAAAAAACTAAGGCGATAATAAGTATGATACGCGAGTCGCATCGTAGTCCTTCACAATCGTAATAACCCTTAAACTATCCAAAGATTTTATGTGGACGATAACGGGGACTTTATCCCAATTCTGATGTAAGATAATATTCCACTTCTGATGTTAGAAATTATCCTCAAAAGTATTTAAATAAAAGAACACTACTCGGTAACAAATCCTGCTTACTATCAGGGCCCCAATTACTTGATAACACCAAAGTATGCAAACCAACAGCATCACTTCCCATCTCAGTGTACACAAGGCAGCCTCTCAGCAACACGACCTCCCTTGCCTCCACTAGTAGAATACCCCAACGGGCTCAAGTAACGACAGTGGGACTCTTAGAATTACACAATGATGCCTCTTAGTCGCCTGTGCGATAATTTATACTGCTAAAACAAGTGGGAGATTACCATTGTACCTTAATTTGTTCGTATTTCCTTTTATTTTTTTACCCTCATTCCCATTAATATATTTTTTTCACTATTTAGTATACCTCAAGTCCGGGAAGATGTTCACGCCACTTTTGCACTACTTCCTAACGCTTATGTGATTTGCTTATTATTAGCCAATAAAAGTACTGCCAATAATAGGTCGGGGAAAAAGTTTCTTTTTATTTTCTACCGAATTTAAAAAGGAGGAGGTATTCAATTCGACTGTACGTTTTTCTTTTTTCTATGTGTGGTAACATACATAAAAAAAGAAACATTGTTCGTGGAGTTTTTATATGTTTTGTTTTTATTTTATTTTTTTAAATAATTGCAAAGAATAAAAAAGACAGATGTCACGAATATTGGAGAAACAAGAGAATGTTTTCTGTAAATGTATATATAGCATTTTTCTCTTAAATTGTATCACTTCATTTAATTTTGCTATCCAAGTACGATATTATAATTTATATATTATGAAGACGAACATTTTTATTTAAAAACTGAATTCTAACTACCATGCGTTCTGCGCGTGAACATTGCCCGACGTGATTATCGAATGAAAAAGTAATATGAAGAAGTAAGCTTTGGACAAGCCAACACAAATTGTAATTGCCGAGAGAAACTGCAACGAGAGCCAGCTGCACAGCAACAAAATCAGGGAAGTGACCACTCCTATAACACTTTTATAACCTACTTACCCTGTGCGTCCTTCTCAAAACTTGACTTTAGGTTGCCGGCCGGCCATTTTTTTATATATCGCAGTGAACCTAATTTTCATGTCTTATTTATCTAAGGGGTGTAAGGGGCTGGAAATGGGGTGTAAGGGGCTGGAAACAACACCTTTACCAGCCCAAACGCCAACCCCACCTGCACGTGGTACACTCTGCTGACCTACGGACGGGGCTCTGGCGACCGACGTCTGGTGGGATAACCAGACAGCGCTTCATACAGGTAGAAATACCCTGTATACTGGATATAACACCTCCATAACGGGTTTCCCTACCTTGAGCGGGTAGGTGTTTTTGCGTCAGATGGCAATCGGCAATAGACTAATAAACCCCAAAAGCCAAATCTTTAGAAAAGAAACATGGAAAGGTTACGTAATGGATTGAGTTTCACGGATAGGGCGTCGCCGCGAAACGACGCGCAGTCACATCGCCCTAAAACTGCGAATAGTATGCTAGGGCTACCGAGTCAAGGACGGGCTCGGCTAACGACGTTAGTCCCAAATCGTAACCTAAAAGTCCGCTTCGCTACCTTAAATGTAGGAACATTAACGGGGAAGACTAAGGAACTTGCCTCTGTTTTCAAGCGCAGAAGGGTAGATTTTATATGTCTACAAGAGACTCGATGGACTGGATCCAAAGCCCGTAATATCGGAGAGGGCTACAAACTTATGTACGTAGGTGCAAAGCATGGTAGGAATGGCGTAGCAATTGCTGTCAAAGAAGATCATCTTGAAAACATCCTGGAGGTCAACCGTATTAACGACAGACTCATGTCAATAAAGGTACTGGTGGTGAAGGTGAGGTACTAAATATTGTAGCTGCATATGCTCCCCAAGTGGGTTGTAGCCAAGCAGAGAAAGACAATTTTTGGACTTCCCTAGAATACACTCTTCAATCAATATCTCCTAAAGAAACTACTTTACTGGGAGGTGGAGGAACACTAAACGATGCTGGTAAAGTCATTCTCTCCACGGCAGCAGCCTTCGATCTTGCTATTGCCAATTCCTTCTTCGCTAAAAAGATCGAACATCTGATCACGTATAAAAGCGGCCAAACATCTTCACAGATTGACTACATACTAATCAACCGAGCTCACATTGGCCGTGTAACAAATTGTAAGGTTATTCCGGAAGAATGCGTCGCCCCCCAACACCGTATTGTTGTAATGGACGTGCTATTCAAACGACATCCCAAGGAAAAACCAACTCAAATTCCTGAACTCACCATATGGTGGAACCTAAAAGGTGAGAAAATTCCCGAGTTCTGTGAACGTCTTGCTGATTTAAAGGTTGATGTTAAATCAGATATTGACACCATATGGGAACATTTACGTAAGTCCATTATAACTACTGCAAACAACATTCTTGGCCGTACAAAAAGCGGTAAAAAATCCGACAGAGAGACGTGGTGGTGGACAGAGAAGGTGCAAGATGCAATACGGGAAAAGAAAAATGCTTTTAAGACCTGGCAGTCCACTTTAACCCCAGAAGATCGGGAAAAGTACAAAGCAGTTAAAAAAGTTACCAAGAAAGTTATAGCCATAGAACGTGCGCAGTCCCAGAAAACGCTTTATAGTAAATTAAGCACAAAAGAAGGCCAAAAGTGTATATATAAGCTAGCAAAACAGCGTTGTCAAAGCACAAAGGATCCGGCCAGGTGTAAAACTGTCAAAGGTCCAAATGGCGACTTGTTATATAAAGACCATGATGTCATAACAGCTTGGCATCATTACTACGAACAGCTACTATCCCTACCCCATCTAGCTGCCACACAACTTCCTGGAGTGGAAGTGAATGCAGGACTTATACCTCCAATACACCCTGATGAGGTAAAGAAAGCCCTACACAAAATGTCCAACAAGAAAGCCATTGGACCTGACGGAATACCAGTGGAAGCTTGGAAATGCTTAGGTCCACGTGGACTCGTACTGCTAACCGATTTCTTTAACTGTATGTTGTTCTCTTCAAAAATGCCAAAGGCGTGGAGATTGAGCACTATAGTTCCCATCTACAAGGGAAAAGGTAGTAAGTACAAGTGCAACAACTACCGCGGAATCAAGCTCCTCAGTCACACCATGAAGCTCTATGAGAGGGTAATTGACAGCCGCATAAGATCCGAGTGCGAGCTGTCTAAGAACCACTATGGCTTCGTACCTGGATTGTCTACCACGGATCCGATGTTTGCTCTTAACACGATTGTCGAAGAGTATCGCGCGAAAAACCGACCATTACATGTCGCATTTTTGGACATGGAAAAGGCGTTTGACCGTGTCCCAAGGGATACGATCTGGTGGAGCCTTCGTAAGAAAAATGTCCCCGAACACTACGTTAACATCATTGCCGACATGTACAGAGATGCGAGATCAATGGTTCGGACGGTGGTGGGTGAGACCAGGTCGATAGCGGTCACAGAAGGAGTGGACCAAGGTTCTGTATTGAGCCCTTTTCTGTTTTGTTTGATTCTGGACTCACTCACCGAAGCGGCACAGAATTCAGCAACGTGGACATTTATATACGCTAACGGCGTAGCCATCTGCACAGACAGCCGCGCTCACTTGCAAGAGGCACTCGTGTCGTGGAAACATCAGTTACAGACCGGTGGCCTAGTGCTGAGTGTGGCAAAGACTCAGTTCATGTCCTTCAACGACCCAGATACAAACAACAGTCCGATTTCCATCGATGGACAATTGGTGAACTCGTGTGATCAATACAAGTATCTGGGTAGTATGATGAGCGGTTCTGGGGACTTGGAAATTAACATTCAGCACCGAATAGCCGCAGCGTGGCTAAAGTGGCGAGAAGTGACTGGTGTCACGTGCGATAGGAGAATGCCGGTCAAACTTAAAGGT